TACTTATTGATCTATTTAAGAAAATTATTATTCTTTTAAATTATTCTCATAGTGAATATAAAAAAACTGATTACAAACTTTACTGAAGTCAACTATAAGATCATCAATTATAGGACAAGATCCTTTGAATAGACTGAAACCCACCAATACTTTAAGTTTCAAGAACATAACTATTTTGTATGTAATAATTTATCACAAAAATTTTTTAAATTCAGCTTACTTTGTACAAAATTAAGCTTAATTTATAATTTAGCTTATAAATTAATTCTTAAATTTATTTATAATTTCTTTTAACTAATTTTAAAATGAAATATTTTTTTCTTTTGAATTTTTGTACAACCGTAATTGCTGATATAAAAAATTTTATTAATATTATAACCATAATTAAATCTTAATTTTATTAAATTATTTTATTGCTGTCAATTTAACTGCGATTAAATTTATTGAAAAAGATTTTAAAATAATTGTATAATCACACAAAAACATACATGTAAGAATTAAACATTTATAAACAATTAAAGTAAGTTTTAATTTAAATTAAGAGCTTTTAATAAAAATCTACATAAAATATATACAAATAAAAAATTTTTGAAACTTAAAATACTTAAAGTATTTTGATTATTAGCTTTGATACTTATTTGAAGAATTATATATTTTAACATAAATCAAAATAGTAGTAATATTAATTCATCTATTTCAATTACTATTCATTATTATTTAGGAATAATCTCAAAAAGATTTTGGTTTGTATACATACATTTTATTTCTAATATTTCTAGGAGGTATATTAGTATTGTTCATAATGTCACAAAAATTCCTTCAAAGGAAATATTTTTCCTGTCAATAAAACTATTCTTATTAAAGACATCAACATATTTTCTATTTGCCTCTTTTTTTTATATATTATACAATACCAATATAATAATATAGATTTGTATCCTAATAATGAGTCAATACTTTGAACAGAGTTATCATATTTAACGATAAGATTAATAATGAACCGGTACGATTTGGTCCTTGTTAAACAAGGAATATGGTAAAACTAACACTCCTCATAAACAGATATACAAGACGTCAATAAATTCTTTAGCATATCTTAATTCAATTCAATAATTCAGTAAATACAGTAAATACAGTAAGACATTATTTTATATAGTTATACAGGACTCACGTCACCAAGATAAATTAAACTATTAACGATTATAAAATTGTAATTGTTATATTTAAAAGTAAATACGTGGGTCTTGTTGCACTTACCAGGCTTACTTTTTATTAATTTACCAGAAGTTAATGTAAAATTGAAAGTTATATTTTGTCATATTAATATCCATTTAAATAATTTTTCCATATCCAGTTAATAAAAATTTCATCTTGATATGAAATGTACTTATTTATCAATTTAAGAAAATTATTACTCTTTTAAATTATTCTCATAGTGAATATAAAAAAAACTGATTACAAACTTTACTGAAGTCAACTATAAGATCATCAATTATAGGACAAGATCCTTTGAATAGACTGAAACCCACCAATACTTTAAGTTTCAAGAACATAACTATTTTGTATGTAATAATTTATCACAAAAATTTTTTAAATTCAGCTTACTTTGTACAAAATTAAGCTTAATTTATAATTTAGCTTATAAATTAATTCTTAAATTTATTTATAATTTCTTTTAACTAATTTTAAAATGAAATATTTTTTTCTTTTGAATTTTTGTACAACCGTAATTGCTGATAAAAAATTTTATTAATATTATAACCATAATTAAATCTTAATTTTATTAAATTATTTTATTGCTGTCAATTTAACTGCGATTAAATTCATTGAAAAGGTTTTTAAAATAATTGTATAATCACACAAAAACATACATGTAAGAATTAGACATTTATAAACAATTAAAGTAAGTTTTAATTTAAATTAAGAGCTTTTAATAAAAATCTACATAAAATATATACAAATAAAAAATTTTTGAAACTTACGTTTTAATTAAACTATTTTTTGTGGTTTTGAATAAAAGTATTTTCCTTCTAGCTTTGATACTTATTTGAAGAATTATATATTTTAACATAAATCAAAATAGTAATAATATTAATTCATCTATTTCAATTACTATTCATTATTATTTAGGAATAATCTCAAAAAGATTTTGGTTTGTATACATACATTTTATTTCTAATATTTCTAGGAGGTATATTAGTATTGTTCATAATGTCACAAAAATTCCTTCAAAGGAAATATTTTCCCTGTCAATAAAACTATTCTTATTAAAGACATCAACATATTTTGTATTTGCCTCTTTTTTTTATATATTATACAATACCAATATAATAATATAGATTTGTATCCTAATAATGAGTCAATACTTTGAACAGAGTTATCATATTTAACGATAAGATTAATAATGAACCGGTACGATTTGGTCCTTGTTAAACAAGGAATATGGTAAAACTAACACTCCTCATAAACAGATATACAAGACGTCAATAAATTCTTTAGCATATCTTAATTCAATTCAATAATTCAGTAAATACAGTAAATACAGTAAGACATTATTTTATATAGTTATACAGGACTCACGTCACCAAGATAAATTAAACTATTAACGATTATAAAATTGTAATTGTTATATTTAAAAGTAAATACGTGGGTCTTGTTGCACTTACCAGGCTTACTTTTTATTAATTTACCAGAAGTTAATGTAAAATTGAAAGTTATATTTTGTCATATTAATATCCATTTAAATAATTTTTCCATATCCAGTTAATAAAAATTTCATCTTGATATGAAATGTACTTATTTATCTATTTAAGAAAATTATTATTCTTTAAAATTATTCTCATAGTGAGTATAAAAAAAACTGATTACAAACTTTACTGAAGTCAACTATAAGATCATCAATTATAGGACAAGATCCTTTGAATAGACTGAAACCCACCAATACTTTAAGTTTCAAGAACATAACTATTTTGTATGTAATAATTTATCACAAAAATTTTTTAAATTCAGCTTACTTTGTACAAAATTAAGCTTAATTTATAATTTAGCTTATAAATTAATTCTTAAATTTATTTATAATTTCTTTTAACTAATTTTAAAATGAAATATTTTTTTCTTTTGAATTTTTGTACAACCGTAATTGCTGATAAAAAATTTTATTAATATTATAACCATAATTAAATCTTAATTTTATTAAATTATTTTATTGCTGTCAATTTAACTGCGATTAAATTCATTGAAAAGGTTTTTAAAATAATTGTATAATCACACAAAAACATACATGTAAGAATTAGACATTTATAAACAATTAAAGTAAGTTTTAATTTAAATTAAGAGCTTTTAATAAAAATCTACATAAAATATATACAAATAAAAAATTTTTGAAACTTACATTTTAATTAAACTATTTTTTGTGGTTTTAAATAAAAGTATTTTCCTTCTAGCTTTGATACTTATTTGAAGAATTATATATTTTAACATAAATCAAAATAGTAATAATAATATTAATTCATCTATTTCAATTACTATTCATTATTATTTAGGAATAATCTCAAAAAGATTTTGGTTTGTATACATACATTTTATTTCTAATATTTCTAGGAGGTATATTAGTATTGTTCATAATGTCACAAAAATTCCTTCAAAGGAAATATTTTTTCTGTCAATAAAACTATTCTTATTAAAGACATCAACATATTTTGTATTTGCCTCTTTTTTTTATATATTATACAATACCAATATAATAATATAGAATTGTATCCTAATAATGAGTCAATACTTTGAACAGAGTTATCATATTTAACGATAAGATTAATAATGAACCGGTACGATTTGGTCCTTGTTAAACAAGGAATATGGTAAAACTAACACTCCTCATAAACAGATATACAAGACGTCAATAAATTCTTTAGCATATCTTAATTCAATTCAATAATTCAGTAAATACAGTAAATACAGTAAGACATTATTTTATATAGTTATACAGGACTCACGTCACCAAGATAAATTAAACTATTAACGATTATAAAATTGTAATTGTTATATTTAAAAGTAAATACGTGGGTCTTGTAGCACTTACCAGGCTTACTTTTTATTATTTTGCCAGAAGTTAATGTAAAATTAAAAGTTATATTTTGTCATATTAATATCCATTTAAATAATTTTTCCATATCCATTTAATAAAAATTTCATCTTGATATGAAATGTACTTATTGATCTATTTAAAAAAATTATTATTCTTTTAAATTATTCTCATAGTGAGTATAAAAAAACTGATTACAAACTTTACTAAAGTCAACTATAAGATCATCAATTATAGGACAAGATCCTTTGAATAGACTGAAACCCACCAATACTTTAAGTTTCAAGAACATAACTATTTTGTATGTAATAATTTATCACAAAAATTTTTTAAATTCAGCTTACTTTGTACAAAATTAAGCTTAATTTATAATTTAGCTTATAAATTAATTCTTAAATTTATTTATAATTTCTTTTAACTAATTTTAAAATGAAATATTTTTTTCTTTTGAATTTTTGTAAAACCGTAATTGCTGATAAAAAATTTTATTAATATTATAACCATAATTAAATCTTAATTTTATTAAATTATTTTATTGCTGTCAATTTAACTGCGATTAAATTCATTGAAAAGGTTTTTAAAATAATTGTATAATCACACAAA